CCAAATGATTAACATTTCCCCTAGACCAAAGATGAGAAGGCAAGGAGGTATAGGAAAGTTAGAATAATGGAAACACAACAACCAAAATGGGAACAACAAGAATGCTGATACATTGTGAAGCATGTAACCAAGGTCACTGAATAGTATATATAGAAATTGTTAAATGTGAACCAAATTTCCTACATCTGCTAAAGACCTCTTTAAAGTGTTGTAAAGCAAAGATGTCACCTGGAAGACTAAGGTGCGTTTGACCCAAGCCATGGTGTTTTCAATCATCTCATATGCAAGTGAAAGCTGGACAATGAATAAGGAAGACCAAAGAAGAATTGACCCCTTTGAATTGTGTTGGTAGTGAAGAATATTAAATATATCATGGACTTCCAAAAGAAGGAAAGAATCTGTCTTGGAAGAAGTACAGCCAGAATGCTCCTTAGTAGCAAGGATGGCGAGACTACGTCTTACATACTTTGGGCATGTTATCAGGGGGGACCAGTCCCTGGAAAAGGACATCATGCTTGATAAAGTAGAGGGTCATTGAAATAAGGAAGACCCTCAATGAGATAGATTGACACCGTGGCTGCAACAATGGGCTCAAGCATAACAACGATCATGAGGATGGCTCAGGACTGGGCAGTGTTTCATTGTGTTGTACATAGGGTTGCTACGAGCTGGAACCGACTGGACGGTACCTAACAACAACAACAAAATTTCCCATATAAACTTTCACCAAAAATACAATAAAATATTTTTAAAAACTGCTCTTATACATTGAGAATTATTCTTAGAATAAGAAGAAGAAGAAAAAAAATAAAAACCTAGTTACACCCGTCTAGTATTAGCTACCAAGTACAGTTTTCCACTAATTGCCTCCTTAGGGCAATGACCCAAAAGTATCATTTTCTGGAGAAATTTTTCAAGTTTTAGAGATATCTGTCAGCAGTTTAGAAACAGATCCATCAATGACAAAATTCATTTTTTTATTCAGTAACAGCTATTATTATGTTTTATTTCTTACCTCGGTAAGTCATTTTAATTGGTGACATTTTTTTCTTCAGAAGAATCCTAATATGGCATATTAGGACAATGCAACATTTTTCCAATTACTTCTTCACACATTTGATTTTTATCCTAACCTTGTGAGATAAGCAAGATAATGTCAGTTTAGAAAAAAAAAAGCTGAAATGCAGAGAGGATAGATTGCTTATCAAAAGACAGATTAGGGACACATTAAAAACTATCCTTCAAAAATGCCAACTAACCTCCAAATTCATTAGTGATGTAAATTTTGTACTTCTATTTTCGCAATATATCCATAGCAAAGCCCAATATGCTCCATTTCCAAAATGCCTACATTCCCACCCACCCTAACTCTTTTTCTACTTTACTGTTAGAAAGTGGGCACCTGAGGGTGAGTCATGAAAACATGCCATCAGACTATGTCAAAAACATGTGAAAACCGTAAAGAGCCAGTTTCCATCCATCCCTACTCCCTCCCCCATTGCCCGGGTGGGATGGGGGGGGACAGGCTTGTAAGCATCCAGCTCTGGCTACAGAGCTGTTTGATTGCTTAAGCCGGGTGGTCAGACAATAGGACCAGAAAGAATGGCTGCTTCCTTCCTTCCTGTTGAGTGTTCTGCCCGAGTGAGCAAATTCAATAGCACTCTGCTTCACTGCAACACTAGGCTCTAGCACGAGGGAAAATCAACAAAGAGCCATTCTAGGGCATTTCCAACCCCACCTAAGCGCAGCCTCTGAGCTACAGAATCACGGGAGGAGGCGGCGAGATTCAGCACTCCTGGGGGCATGTGTTCAGGGCCGCTGTTCATGCGGCTCCGTGCAATTTTAATTTTCCAGTTTAGTTATCATTTTCCATTTTCTAATCTGCAATTCTCTGAGATGTTTGAAAACTTTCTTAAAATTTGGCTATTTTATTGTGACCAAAAAGACCAAATTGGCATGGACAGCTGTGATAATGGTAACTCTAGAATGCTCCCGCAGTGTGATGGTTAATTTTATGTGTCAACTTGGCTGGCTATGGTGCCACTTGTTTGGTCAAACACTAGTCTAGTTGCTCTAGTTACATGTGACTATATCAGTTGGCCTTAGGTAGAGCAGACTATCTTCCATAACGTGGGTGAGCCTTATCCAATCAGTTGAAAACTTTACGAGCAAAAAGGGAGTTTCCCTAGGATGTATTCTGCCTCCAGACTAAAATTAGACATTTTGCCAGAACTCCCACTCTCTTCACTCTTCCCTTTCCCTGACCTCTGGATTTTGGGATGCGAAACTGCAGGAGTCTCCAGCCTAATTTTGGATTTGCCAGCTCCCCACAATCTTGAGAGCTAGTTTCTCAAAGTAAACCGATCTCTCTCTCTCTCCATATATATACATAAAAAACCAAAACCAGTCATCTCTCCCTCAACTTTTAGATCTACATAGAGTAGAAGTAGTAATTTGGCCCATTCAGCAGTTAAGAATGGCAACCAGAGAAGGTGTGAAAGAAAGACATTAAATATTTAATATTATATAGTATTATATATAGTATATGTATGTATATGTAATACTATATAGTCCCTAGAACCTGTGAATGTGATATCATTCCCATGATTACATTATGTTATATGGCACAGGTGACCTTAAAAAGGGAGACTATCTAGTGGCTGAGATAATTACAAAAGTCCTTTAAAAGTAAGAAACTTTTTCCTATTGTGGCAGAAGAAGAAGTCAGAGAGACTGGAAGAGTGAAGAGGACTTGCCACGCCACTGGTGGTTTGGAGATGGAGGACTACGTGGGAAAGAATGTGGGTGATCTCCAGGAGCTGAGGGTGTGCCCCAGAAGACAGCCAACACGAAACAGGAACCTCGGTTCTATTACTTCAAGGAACTAGATTCTGCCCACAACCTGAATGAACTTGGAAAAGGAATCTTCCCCCAGGGTCTCAGATAAGAGCCCAGCACAGCTGATACCTTGATTTTGATCTTGCAAGACCCTGAGCAGAGAACCCAGTAGAGCCCACTCAGACTTCTGATCTACAGAACAGTGAGATAGTAGATGGATGCTGTTTTAAGCCACTAAATTTGTGGTAATTTGTTACAGCAGAAATAAAACCTAATACAGCTTTCCTCTTTTTCAACTATGCTGAGTTTTCTCAGTTGTAACTGCAACCTTATGAATATGAAATTTGATTTTGTCATCTTTTGTTGCTGATTTGGGCATAGTTTCTGTCACTGTGACATTTATAACGTTTGAATGTTTCTGGCAGTCAAAGTTATGTGTATTTATACTCTGACTTTTCCACAGTTGGAACTTGGTGGCATCCTACATTGTTATTATTGAGGCATTCCAGTATATTAAAACTATTATATGGTTAAACAAAATTATATTATTCATCTGATGGATTTGAACCAGAACAGATCTTGGATTCCAAATTGAAGATGACAGATAAGAGTCTTTATTAAATTATTAAAAAACTTAAAATGCTTCGTCTTTCAAATGAAAAATCCAACTCTACAAGCATTATAGTTTGTAGTCATTTACACAAGAACTAATTAAGCTGTTTATTTTATTTCATAAAACAGGAAGAAAAAAAATCTCTAATGAATAACAGTAAAATTTCCTAAGAGCTGGAGACGATGCTAAGACATTTTCGTTTCAACTTTAAAACAAGCCTGCAAGGGACACCCCCACACGTGGGCATCGTCCTCATCCTGCTGCAGCTTCAAAGCCCCATCAGGCCTTTTTCCACATGGACACTTATATCACCTTGCTGCTTGAACCTGCTAGGACCCTGACACTCTACACCAAGCTCCCCTCCCCCTCCTCCTCCCCACGTAAATGCCCTCATTAGCCTCTTAGGCCAAACAAGCTAGCCACCCATCATGAACACCCTTCCAGGGCCCTGTCATCCAATGTCAGACCACTCCATGCGTGAATACCTTCCTCAGTCTCCTTGGGCTCCGCATCCTACACCAGGCCTTTTCCCTGCAGTAAGCCTTCCTCACACTGTTAGCTCCCTTCTAGTAGGCCTTCAATTCATGTTGACTCTGTGCACAACGGGATCGGACTGTTGTGATCCATAGGGTTTTCACTGGCTGATTTTCAGAAGTGGATCACCAGGCATTTCCTCTTAGCGCATCTTAGTCTGGAAGCTCCACTGAAGCCTGTTCAGCATCATGGCAACATGAAAGTCTCCAGTGATGAATGGGTGGTAGCTGTGCATGAGGTGCATTGGAGGGAATCAAACTCAGGTCTCCTATATGGAAGGTGAGAATTCTAGAGCTCCAGTTCTTAACCGTTCACATAGGTAAGGAGAAGAATGAATCTATTACACTCTACCCGCATAATGATTTCATTTGTAAGTATTTGACCCTGGCATGATGGGTAACAGCTGCTACTGAACGTACTTGCTCAGGGAAAGAGAGAGATTAAGTAACCTATTTTATCCTGATTTCTGAGACACCCTTAAAAAAGCCAAGCTGGAGAATACTGTTGCCAGTGATTCCATCCTGCCAGTCATTTTGCTTCCAGGACATGACACCTTTCTCATTGAGTAGCTTCTGTAAGGCACAGGACAGATTTATGCTTCATGAGCAGGACAAATCCCATTTTATTCATTGCAGAACATGCTGAAGGTTCTGGCCTTTCAGGCTCTTACAAAGAGCTCAGTCTTTACCTCCATAAAGGATGGATTCCTTTCGTGTTAAGCTTTGCTCTAGACCCAGAAAGGTACCACTTTTAAGTCACTCTCCAATACTGCCATATTAGCTAATTGTTACCTTTATGCCAGCTTTACAAACTGATATATATATCAAGATTACGCAGGTAAAAATCTTTGAATGCTGGTTAGGAAAATTACAATTTGAAAGGCTATTGTAATTGTGTAAACAAGAGTTCATATAAAACTGAAGGATCCTGTGGGAATGGGAGAAGGGACAAAACAGTGGACATAGTTTTTCTGTTTAGGATTTACAAGAAGAATTTATTTAAAAATTAGCACAGTATCGCTTCTCGGCCTTTTGGCTAAGATCAAGTGTAGTATCTGTTCTTATCAGTTTAAAAATTAGCACAGTAGAAGATTCTCCCATTAATTTTTCCATAAAAAGTACTAGAAATAAAAGATGGTCAGGTGTTGCTGGAAATTTGTACATGCATAAGCACACACATAAAATGCACACAAGTGCACCAATTAAAAGAAATCTACTCACCCTAAAATCATAGTAAAATGCAAATTTAAGGTGTGATACACCTCATTTACATGATGCTCTACCCTCTGCATTTACTCCATGTAGAACAGTGTGCACAGTGACCTAGGAGTCTAACTTTATGTAAACTATGAAGGAAGTGTGATTGGTTGTCATTTTGTAGACATTTTATTCTCAAGCCTATATTATGCTCAGTCCTAGACTTCCTTGGACATCTTTTCACTTGCCAAGAATGAAAATCAACAACAAAAGACGCATACTACGATACTCTTATAATACGTTAAATAGCTTAGGTACGTCTTCCATTTTCTTATTCTTGAGGACATTTCTTGTCTAAGTCCTGGCCTATGTAGCATCTTCTCAGAATCTCAGCGTGTTCCATATGTTGTTGTTAGGTGCCATCACGTCAATTCCAACTTATCGTGACCCCATGTAATAGGGTAGAACAACCTCTTAGGGTTTTCTAAGCTGCAATATTTACAGAAGCAGATGGCCAGGTCTTTCTCCTGCAGAGCCACTGGGTGGGTTTGAACTACCAACCTTTCAGTTAGCAGCTGAGTGCTTAGCCATTGCACTATGAGGGCTTCATGCTCCATATAGACTAGAAAAGAAATTACTAGAGGTAGATCTTAAAGATGACCAGCTCTACGGTTTTATGGATTCTTAGGGCTCAGTTCTCATCAGTCCAACCCCCTGCAATACATACATTTAATTCTTTCAAATCACATTTATGGAAGTGACCTCCATAGTAGGTGCTTTCTGTGCTCATGAACGCATGCAGGCACACACACACACACACACACACACACACTCATGCATTTATTTACTAGCCCAGAATTGGGCTAATAAATACTTCTGGCTACTAATTGCTGACATCAAAACATTGGCCAATCAGGCCATGTTTAATTCACTTTTTGTTACACACTTCAATTTTAGTTTTTCGGCATTTACACAGTAGTCTTCTTATTTTACTCCATTATAACTCAGTTTACTAAGACAATTTAATTAAAAAAAGAAAAGCGCTAGATCCATTCATTTATTCACCAGTTATCTACTATGAACTAGGCAATATGTGTATAATACAAAGATGAACAGAAAAGATTTCTGATTTCCAGGAGCTCTTGGTTTAGTGGGAGATGGAGACATATAAGCAAATACCTGCAACTGCTTGCAACATCATTAATGAGTTCTCTATTAGGATTATGTTCAACGTATGTGAGAACATGAGGAAACCAGGACCAACGAAGTCAAGGCAGCTGGGGAAAGCCTCATAGAAGTGATGTTGTGACGGGAAAAACGTGGAGGGCTGCATTTTAGAAGTGAAAGACAAGGGGTTGAGTGATGACAATCTAAGAATTTCAAGAAGGTGGGGAGGAGGATCAATAAGTGAGGCTAGGAATGAGGTGGTTGTTGTCTAAGAAGGGCCTTATCTACCAGGTAAGGGATTGGGGACTGATTTTATTGGCAGCAGAATCTTGCCGAGATTTGTGAGGAGAGCGCTGTAATTTTTTTTTAAGATCCTTCAGACAGCAGTGAGAAGGGAATGAGGGCCATGGTGGTTCAGTGGTAGGATTCTCACCTTTCATGTGAGAAACTTGTGTTCAATTCCTGGCCAACGTATCTCATGCCCAGCCACCACCTGTCTGTCAGTGGAGACTTGCGTGTTGCTATGATGCTGAACAGTTTTCAGCAGCGCTTCCAGACTAAGACAGACTAGCAGGAAAGACCTGGTAATCTACTTCTGAATATCAGCCAATAAAAAACCAATGGATCACAGTGGTTTGATCCGCAACCAACCATAGAGATGGCGCAGAACTGGGCAGCATTTCGTTCCATTGTGCACAGGGTCACCATGAGTTGGGGCCAACTGGATGGCAGCTAACAACAGTGAGAAGGGTAGACTGACTGGGAAAGAGAGAGGAAATAGGAGACACAATCTGAAAGGCTATTATAATTGTGTAAACAAGTGTTAATGTAAAACTGAACCCTCCTGTGGGAATAGGGAGAAGGAGAAAAAGCAATGGGCATGGATTTTTTGTTTATTAAAACATCTTAGTTTGTAACTAAAAAATGTTTTTCTCCTTGTCAGAAGACAGTAACGTCAACACCTAGTTCAACCCACACCATTTACCACAAATACTCTCTGATGCCTCTGTTCCCTTGAGAATCACGTCTTGGAGTTACGTGGGAACAACCTTTGATCTATTGGTTCAACCCTGACTGAGGGATGTGTGGTGGGAAAGTGAAATAGCTCGTTTTCATGAAGCATTTCACAAAGTATAAAACTGACTCTCAGATGGCCATTTAAAAAATGGACTTAACAATTGTTTTAATAAAAACAACTCTTCTCTATCCTTGCTAGCTCCTCTAATATTTTTATTCTTGGGGTGAGGTTACATATTCCTAGGAATCAGAATTTCCACACTGAATGCCCGAGCTGCCAGCTTCAGAATGGTCTTTGCCAAGCTCCTGCTGTCTTCTCCAGAATTTTTTCCCTTCCCTTATCTATTCTCTAAACTTCCAGTTTCCTGTCCACACACTTACATTTTAATTTATGACTCTGTAATAGCACTTGCACGCCTACGTAACTGGACTGCAAATGCCTTGAAGGTAAAGATGTTTCCAAAATAGTACTTGGCACATAATATGTTAATAAGAAGTTACTAAATGAATAAATAGTAAATCAGTAGAGTGGCCAGTGTTCCACTCTTTCAGTGGAGGCAAGGACTGAATGACGGATCCCTGGCTTCATCTGACAAGGAAGATCACATTCGAGTCTTGCTTAGGCTCTAATCCCAGGGCTGACTTGGATGACCAGACACGAGGCACATTTCTTTATGGTGTGCTTGAAGGTTATGTTTGTCATGTTAGAAGGAGACTTCAGACCTAAACATTTTTTATCTCCCTTTACTGTGAATTCATCTATTTGTTGTATACAGTCACTTCCATTGTAAGATAAGTCCATCAAGCCTGTTCTAAGGATGAAAACAAGGACATCACAGAAAGAGAGACATTGCTGTATTAAGTTAGTGAAACATCAGAGGAAATGCGAGAAAAGCAACAAAGAGTTATTTATACAATTATTAGCAAGGCCATACTCACCTTTTTGATATTTTCAAAGCTGTTTAAATCCTTTTTTGGGAGTTCTAGTTATTCTGTCTTTTAGAATCAGCCTAGTTTTGGAAATAAGAGAACTGAGACATAGAGAGTTCAAGAACTCTCCAAGTCACAAGCCAACATTTGAGGCTTCTACTAAGCAGATGGATGCAATGTTTGAACTTTGATCTCATAATTCTGACCTTTTATTTCAGAACTCTGTTCACTAGTTTGCCATATCTTGAATGAATACTTTCTTCCAAGATTCTTTTGCATTCTGCCTCAGGAGACTATCACAATTGCATCCCAAGATTTTTCTTTTTAATTATTTTTAAGTTGAATGATATGATTTACTCATCTTTTTCAAAAAGGGCCACACAACAACCTCTAACAATTACAGATCACACAAAGCCAGTGATAGCCTACTCTTTCATTAGAAGGTTGAATTTGGATGAAGCTGGGAGGAAAATGAAACTGTCCTCTCTCATGCTTGTTAATAAGTACACCTCCCTAGTGGGACACTACACTCCTTCCGGTGGGTGTTTTGGCACCTCTTTTAGTTAATTGGAAATCCGGGTGGCATAGTGGTTAAGTGCTAAGGCTGCTAACCAAAAGGTCGGCAGTTCGAATCCACCAGGTGCTCCTTGGAAACCGTGGGGCAGTTCTGCTCTGTCCTATAGGGTTGCTATGAGTCGGAATCGACTCGACTGCAATGTTTTTGGTTTTTAGTTAATTAGAAGCTAGACTACACATACTAATTATTCATCAAAGGGCAGTCTTCTTTACATTACTGTTTACTCAGTTATAAATATGATAGCACATCATTATTTCGCTTTACAAATGGAAGCGCAGAAGCCCTGCCTTCATTTAGACTGAGTAGTGCCGTCAGAAACAGAATGAAATATCAAGTTGAACTAAACGAGGATATTAATATTTGTAAACTACAATGACCTCTGATAAGATTATTTTAATGAAAACGATTTTCTGTGAACATTATTGGTGTCCCATGTACTATTAATAATGGAGACAAAAGGACTTTTACACTTCATTTTTCCTTTACTTCGGTAAAATATTAAATATTTTCTTCTTTCCTCCCTCCACACCCCCTCCTCCAAAAGCTGCAAATCTTCTTCTCTTGTGACTTATAAGAGGAGGCATTCACACATGTCGAAGGTCTTGCAATTTATTATTCTTCAGTTATGACCATAATAACTAATTTCCCTAAATCCGAATTTCACCCTTTTCCAACCCATTTGGTTGACATGCGTGTATACACAGGAGAGTTTTCACAGGGCGTCCTATTCCTCATAATCAGCAAGGCTTTGTTAGAAGCTGTACAAGAAGAATTCAAGGTTCGAATTCAGCACGACTCTCCCAGCAAACCTTGCACCTTCACGCCCACCCCCACTCCAACCCTTCTGGAGTTTCCTCCCCTCCTCTCCCCTCCCCCCGAAAAGGAAGCTCATCAACATTAGCACACAAATGCAAAATAACCAGCCCGGCCTCTTCCTAGGAATACCAATTAGGGGCAGGTAGTTGAAGAGCTTAGAAATCTGAAATCGTCCACAATGAAAAGGATGAATAGATGAGAGACTGAAAGTGGGGTAAAGTGTTCAGCTTTTGTTATTTAAAGTGACGTCTTTAACTCTTTGCCTTCTAGACACTATCCCTCACCAAATAATAGAGCTTTGCAATCAAGAGTTCCTGGGTAAAAAAAGGTATTGAGTTTTCTTGTATAAGGTAGAATGATAAAAATTACATATTGATTTCACGAGGGCATGTGCCTGACAAAAATACAGTCGCGAAAATGTGGCATTGAATAATTTTTTTTTTTTATTAAAAAAAAGAGAGAGAGATCCACATTAGCTGACCTTTTTTTGGTCACTACTT